AACCGAACGCCATTGAATATCAAATTCCTTGGTTGTCCACCAGGAAGCCATGCATTTTGAGAATGCTGCTGTAAACTTTGGGTCACCAATGTTAGCTTGTGCATTGCGAGAAAGATGCCAAGAACATAATCTGTGCTTAGCATAAGGGATAACAGATTTGATAGCCCTCTGCATTGCCCTATCCCCATCGGTGACAACTGAAATAGGTGATTTATTCATCATGGCTTCTAAAAAATTATGTAGCACCCACTCAAAAGATTGAGACGACTCGTCAGCGATTATGGCAGTGGCAAACACAATTGTGTTATGGTGATGATTAACACCAACAATAGGCATAATTGGTCGACCATACAAATTATCTTTGTACGTTGTGTCGAACGCAATTACATCACCGAAGCATGTGTAATCCGATCTCGATGTAGAATCCGACCAAATAAGATTATACAATGCCCCCGATTCATCTACCGAGTATGTCATAAAAAACCCAGGATCATCATGTTTCTTATAATCAAAGTAGGCAATAAGCGCATTCACATCCCCATCGACGATTTCCTTTGCTTTACCTCTTTGAAGTGCATTGTAGAGGTCTTTATGTGTAAATCCAACATTATGATAGCCCCCTGCCTGCTGCGTTAAATAGTTCATTACTTGTGACGTGCCAACACCGACCTCTTTCAATGTTGTTGCCTCATCGATATCAGCCTTACTTACAGCTCTATTAGAACGCATAAATGGTGTCATAGCAGGTGTGCACAATGCATGATTATGTTTCTGATCAGACTTACTTATAACCCACTTATCGTTTGTATTTGTTGCTGTAACTACGACTCTAGCCTTACATTATGTTCTTGTTACTGGCGTATGAGCATGTTGATGATCAACAGTATTGACTTTTGATACTCGAAACCCTTCTTTGGAACAACAAAATTCTTGTGTCTTCACATTCCCTTCCACGTCAAGCCGTGTTGTTCCCTTACGTGCACTAAACCCATGTTCCCGTGCGAATCCCTTATAAAAGTACCAAGCTTGATCACGTGAATAGAAGAGCTGACCAACCAATCTATCAGATTCATCAACATTATGTACTTCATGGCATTCCTCGGTTGGCTTAACATTGTCTACATCAGTATTATCCATGGCAAAAATTTTGTTGTGCAAGTTCAGTGGTCCAAGAGTTGATGGAGATGTAAGCAAAGGTTCATTTTGAACATGTTTCAGTCGTGCTGCTTTCAATAGGATGTGGTATTGGTAGTGGTAGTTAAAGGGTGGGTACAACATTAAATTCGCAGTACATATTTAGGTATGTACAATAACTACAAGTATCGACCCAAAAAACATCAAAACCAATAATTATAATGTAATAGGTAAATTAACAATGTAACAAGTATCGACCCAAATTAATATTATTTTATAAAATATCAAAACAATCAAATAATTTTTTGTGTAAATGAAATTATTAAATTAATATTGTAGGTGGAAAACATGAAACACTATTAAAAAAATTGAAACATAAATTACATAACTTTAAAAAAAGTATCGATCTTTTTTATAAAAAGTATGGACACTTTCAATATAATATGTAAAAATATGATGTAATAGGTAGCGTTTATATAATGTAATAGGTAGCGTTTATATAATGTAATAGGTAGTGCTTATATTGTAAAGTATCTATCATTTTTATAAAAGTGTCCATACTTTTTTCACTGTGAAAAACATTAATTTAAGGTTATCTTTTGAGTGAGTTTTAAGATATTAATTTAGTAATTATAGGCGTCTAATGATTTATTTTTTACGTTACGGTATATATTATTATTAAATTAAAAACAATAAACATATATATTACATATTTATTATTATCTTTGGTTAATATTGTTAAATTTAAAATCTAAATAATATTTTATAAAATATCAAAACAATCAAATATTTTTTGTGTAAATGAAATTATTAAATTAATATTGTAGGTGGAAAACATGAAACACTATTAAAAAAAATTGAAACATAAATTACATAACTTTAAAAAAAGTATCGATCCTTTTTATAAAAAGTATGAACACTTTCAATATAATAGGTAAAAATATGATGTAATAGGTAGCGCTTATATAATGTAATAGGTAGCGTTTATATAATGTAATAAGTAGTGCTTATATTGTAAAGTATTTATCCTTTTTATAAAAGTGTCCATACTTTTTTCACTGTGGAAAATATTAATTTAAGGTTATCTTTTGAGTGAGTTTTAAGATATTAATTTAGTAATTATAGGCGTCTAATGATTTATTTTTTACGTTACGATATATATTATTATTAAATTAAAAAAATAAACATATATATTACATATTTATTATTATCTTTGGTTAATATTGTTAAATTTAAATTCTAAATATTATTTTATAAAATATCAAAACAATCAAATAATTTTTTGTGCAAATGAAATTATTAAATTAATATTGTATGTGGAAAACATGAAACACTATTAAAAAAAATTGAAACATAAATTACATAACTTTAAAAAAAGTATCGATCCTTTTTATAAAAAGTATGGACACTTTCAATATAATAGGTAAAAATATGATGTAATAGGTAGTGTTTATATAATGTAATAGGTAGCGTTTATATAATATAATAGGTAGTGCTTATATTGTAAAATATCTATCCTTTTTATAAAAGTGTCCATACTTATTTCACTGTAGAAAATATTAATTTAAGGTTATCTTTTGAGTGAGTTTTAAGATATCAATTTAGTAATTATATATATCTAATGATTTATTTTTATGTTACGATATATATTATCATTAAATTAAAAACAATAAACATATATATTACATATTTATTATTATCTTTGGTTAATATTGTTAAATTTAAATTCTAAATATTATTTTATAAAATATTAAAACAATCAAATAATTTTTTGTGCAAATGAAATTATTAAATTAATATTGTGGAAAACATGAAACACTATTAAAAAATTGAAACATAAATTACATAACTTTAAAAAAAGTATCGATCCTTTTTATAAAAAAGTATAGACACTTTCAACATATTATAATGTAATAGGTAAATTTACAATGTTATCAGTATAAATATACCGGTTTACTTATAAAATAGGTCAATATAAGCGCTACCTATTACATTATATAAGCGCTACCTAATATGTTATTGTACTTTATAATATTTTCGGTTAAATAATATAACATAATCGATCTAAATTTTAACCGGTCACTTGTTTAACCGATTTTTAGACGCCGCACCGCTGAACTACCCCTGTTAGCCCAGATCGTGAATATGGAGTGTGTAATCATATAAGTCAATCTTATATTCATATATATTTTTTTGAAAGATCATCTTATATTCATATTTAAATGTATATTTTTTTATAATTTCAAAATTGTATAGGTTTATTTACATAAATTAATTTTATATATATATGATTTTAATACATTTTATCAATCCGATACCTTAATTTAATAATTTTAACATATATTATTAATCGTTAAAATATCAAATCATTGTAAATAGAAATCATAAAATGTGCAAACTTTACTAAATATAGATATTAAATTAATTAATTAATTATCCAAAAATATCCAGTTAAAATTATTAAATGGCTTTTATAACTTATGATACTTAAATTACACGTAATTTTAACCTTTAAATGGAAAATAATGCATAATTTAGGGTACATAACATAAGCATCAAATCAGAAGACAGAAAAGCTAAAGGGGTAAGCACGCGTGGAAGAGTGAAGACCAACGAAAACAACCATAATGGCTCCACTTTTTGTGGAAAGCGACGTTTCCCTCATAGAGATGCTCTCTATCTCTGGGATAAGAGCAGTAATTCCTTACAAATTCTAAATTTTTATATATTTTAAAAATTTTTATATACATTTTATTGATAATTTATTTTTTATTCTCCTAAAATTTTATAATTTCGTTTCTTAAAATAAAATTTTACGCAATCTCTAATATCTTTCGTATTAGTCAATACCCACAACCACTTATTCCTTTCATTTTCAGAGTTTTAAGTTAATGCTCCTTCCTATTCCATAAAAAGATTAAGAAAAAGATCTCTCTTTTACATATGTTTCTTCTCTTACTATTTATATTGTATTGTATTGTATGCTAAGTTATGAATTTAGTCATTTTTAATCCATTGATCTTATTCTAAATGGTTAATAATATTTGGATTAAATAACTAAAAGTTCTCCGATGACACTTTTCCTTTTCTTTAGATTGTATGTTCATTATTCATTAAAAACAAAAATTTCTCTTCCTTTCATGGATAATATTTATCCCAAAAAATCTTAATTTAAATAATCATTTTTTATTAATATGGTATTAGTACAAGGTAGTATATGTCAAAAAATAACTATTAACCATTAGACATTGAACACTCATACCCATGACATTCATGGTGTTTAAACCCCAAGACCTCAGGAAATATCAACAATTCATTTACCACCGAAGTCGATTGGTTCATGTTTAAAAAAAATTAATTTAAAATTAAATATCTCAACATCACTATATAAAAATATTTTTAAAAAGATAAAATGTCAAATTTTTACGTGATATTTTAACAGAATAAATTATCTATTTAGTACATTATATATTATTGTAATTTTGTTTTGGAAATCTAAGTATTTTTCTTTGATCAAATTGTTTATTATGTTAGATTTTTTTATTTTGATCCTTGAGGGTTAAGTTTGATCGTTGATTTAATGAAAATGGTGACAATATATAATATAATAATGATTTTAAACTCAAAATTATATATTCTATTTGAAATAATTCAACAAAATTATCATCTTATTGTAAAAGAAATGAAAATATAAGAATAGAGGCTAGCAACAATTGAAATAATGTTAAATTTAAAACAATTTTTTATATTATGTATAAATTGAAGATTTAACTTTTGTTCAATAATTCAATTGTTTTTATTTCATATAGAATAGTGTAATTTGAGTGGTGCTTTGTACCCTATAAATTCGGCTTTGGGTACTCTAGCTCCTCACAAGTCTTGTTATTCAATACCCTCTTTCTCTCACAGATGCAGAACCCATAGGGATCCAGCACATCAGCTTTGCCGTCTTTCTCAAGCTGAACTCAAAATCGTCCTTGCTTGCAAAGGGTAACTCTCCCGCTTTCTTTTCTCTCTGATTTTTGGCTGCCTTACCTAAAAATGACATTAACATAACACACTTCGGGTTTTGCATTAATTTTCTTACAAAACCACTTGTATATATATATATATATATATTCCTTTTGTCTGCAGATATGTAAACTGGTATGAAACATGGAACCCGCTGGAGCTGTTTCTCGAGTGTCGTTCTCAGTTTTCCTAGTCCCACCATCTACCTAGGTTTACCTGAGGCTAGGGTTCTTTAAATTTTCAAACTACTCTCTCAAAATATGTTTCCTTCAAATAGCAATGGTAACAATGACCCAATCGTTTATATCGACCATTCGATTCTCAACAGGCATTTTTGTACTGATGGTACCACCCCTTATATCAAACCAGATGATCTCCCTCTTTCTTTTTTTCATTTCCCTTCTCCTTGTTATAGTCAATGGGAGCTAGAGCTCGAAGACCATGATGTTTTTGTGAGCCAACACCGTGATGACGATGAGCAGTTTCTTCTTCAGAAAAATTTGGTGACTGAGAATTCAGTCTCGGAGACTATTATCAACATGCCTGAAGGTTGTGGTAATAATACGACCGATCATCGCCTGCAGCAGATGCCGAGGAGGGGATCAAAGACGGATCGGCACAGTAAGATTAACACGGCGAATGGACCGAGAGATCGAAGGATGAGATTGTCTCTCGATGTTGCTCGAGAGTTCTTTGGACTTCAAGATATGTTGGGGTATGATAAGGCCAGTAGGACCATTGAATGGTTGCTCATACAGTCAAAGCCCCAAATCCAGAAGCTAATCAATAACAACAGCTTCAGCTTTGTGGCTTCAAAGAGTTCATCTTCGACTTCCGAGGCCGAAGTGGTGTCCGGAATCGACGACAACGCTGCCATTGAAGGAAGCATCTCTGAGGGGAAACATTTTAAAAAAGAGAAAAAGGAAGGACGACAACGTAGAACCAGTTTCCGCCCCCTGGCAAGGGATTCGAGAGAAAAGGCAAGAGAAAGGGCAAGGGCAAGGACAAAAGCAAAGAGCATGTCGTCTCCAAGGTACAATAATCTGAACAAGTTCGGTTCTTGGAGTTACTTAGAGACTGGAAAAGAATATGGGGTTCAAGTTCACAACAGGAATAGTCCTTTCTCGCAGGCCGACAACACAAAGACTCATGGGGATCAGATGATTGATGAATCCTTGGCAATTATGAATAAGTGGTGGCCGGATTCGATTTTCAATTGTCTACAAAACACTGGAATTAACCAAGAGGTAAACCCCCCCCCCTCCGGGGCGCGGGAGGAAAATCTTGCCATTAATCAATATCTTATAACAAAATGCTTCAAATTCTGATAAACCTATATATTTTTTTGCTTCAGAAGCACCAGCTCACACGCCCAGTCCTTTGGCAAACCATGGGAGGCCTGGAACAATAAAAATCTATAAACAAACGTGGGTTTTTCTATTTTATTTCGATCTATGAACAATAAATATTAGAGGCATACTATGTATTGCTTGCTTGCTTTCTGTACTAAAGTCATGCTTTTCCCCCCTCTTCTTTTAGTCTATTTGGAATTTTCTTGTGGACTTTAGAGTCAATGGTTGTTGTTTATGAAATTATCATGAGATGTTTAAGCTTTTCATTGTTTATGTTACAAGTAATTTAGGTATAGGGGTTCATTAAAAATTTCCTCATAACTTGATTAAACTATAATTCAATTAATGAAACCCCTAACTCTGAGAATTCTTTCTTTGACTAACCTCAATGTTGAATGTGAGTTGATATTAGAAGGGATGAGTCTGGAAATATTCAAGGTCGTGATATTGTAGGGTTGAGGTGCTTTAGAGACATCAGAAAACCAAACAACTACTGCATTGCAATCACTTCCAATGATGAATGGAAAGCTGTTGACCTACATTGAGACAATAAATACTATAAAAACTTCTCTAATTGCAAGGGTTTCAGTCAGAGTCGGAGCAACACAACCCTCAAATTTAGAAAGAAAAAGAAAAGTAATACTAGCCTTTTATCATTTCCCAAAATGTCACAGATCCTGCTTATTATCAACACCATCAATGTTAAACTCAAGGTATCCCAGGGGAGGAGACAAGAGAAAACTGTTCAACCTATATTTTAATATAACAAATAAGGGTAAAATATTTTTATCTTGATTGAATTTGTTCAAAACTTTTAAAATTAATTAAAAATCAATTAAATAAGAATTTGAAAAACAAAATAATATTTTGGGTTAGTAGTGTTGATACTGTTTGTGTGGTATCGATACCAAAAGTAAGAGAAGTGTCGATACTCTCTCATGATAATATCGATATTACCTATGGTTTTCAAAGTTGTTGAAATTCTAGAATGTAAAATTTGTATTGATACTCTAGGAGTATCGATACTACTTTACACAGTAGTACCGATATTGCGAAATTCTAGTATAAATATTGGTCAAGCCCAACAATCATTAACGACTAGATTTTTAAATATAACAAAGGAACTACATATACTCTAAACTCGAGTATTGATACTCCATGTGTTGGGCAGTTTTATTTTGTAGAAATTAATTCCCGAATAGCCCCAAATCTAGAAACAACCACAAGCTCATTCCAACATATAACAAAGTCAATAACAATTGGAGAATGTTACAATACCTATCCAAGCAAAAGAGATCAAGAGACAAATCATTTCACTCTTATTTTCCTTTTTGTGTTTTGTACATAAGTGTTTTGTGTTTAATTGTAAATTTTTAGGATTTTTTTTGTTGTGAACTTAAATCTTGTAAACACCTACCTTGTGAGATTTTCTTATTTACATTTCTTATCATTTGTAAAAAGGGAGTAGTTATAGTTTAGCCTTTGAAAAATTTGGAAATTGTAAAGGTTGCTCTTGAGACTAAAAAATAAATTAGTAATTAGTTTGTTAGAAATTCCTAGTGTGGAGTTAAGGTAGTGGATATATAATTGGTTAGAAGTGAAACCACTATGAATCGTTGTACAAATTTTCCTATTATTTTTCTTTCACACCCATATTTTTTAAAAGACCAATTCACCCCTCTTGATACTTTTTTTTTTATTGTTTATAAACCTTAAACAATCCTAACAATAACTGATTGAGCAATTGATTTAGAAGTGAAACATGTGAATTCTCTTTAGAATTCTATTTTATTTTTGCATCATTTATATTTTACTCTCTAGTGGGGTGATGAAGTTAGTTCATTAAGTGCATTAAAAAAACAGGATAACTTTTAGGAAATGATTGAAATACATGCATGGATAATCCACTTTAGCCCTTCCATTAAAGTTTTTTCCACTTTCAAGCTCCATGTTTGTTTTTCAAAGTCTATACATTACCTAAGAGGATATATTTCAACATGCCAATCAAATACTTTATCCTGGTTAGATAAGGTGCACAAGCAGGCATATAGAAAATATAGGGACTGTAATAGAATAAAATATGCCTTCTTCATATCTTTTGGGAGAGGAGAGTCGTTGAATTATAATTTTATATTAATGTTGTTCTTTAGAGGTAGGTTTGCATATAGAGAGTATGTGCAAAATTTTTTTAAGATTTATTTTAATTATGAATCTAATAATATATCGTAATAATTTTGGTTAAAATTATTTAGATGCAAAGTCCAAATCTCCATGTCCATAACCTTACAATGTCTACAAGGTACAACTTAGAAAGAGAAAGCAGTAGCTTCCATTGAGATCCAAAGGCCAAAGGCAAGGGGTATGCTGTACAACAGTGAGAACAATCTTCAGAGACCTGCATCTACTTAAGTGAGGTGAAGTGCAGAAAGACCTGGAAACCTTAAAAAATTCCCAAAGCGAAACCTTTTCTATATACTTACCTATTTCTTTGAAAAAAGTAGTAGCGTCAAACTGCGGTTGCGAGTGTCGCGGACGTTATGGTGTAATATTTTCCTAAAAATAACTACGTTTTATGTTGCGGAAACGATTTGCGATGTTGCGGTAACCTTAAAAAAATTACGATACGATCATTACACTGCGTTGCGCTACAATTTAATACTATGAAAATAGTTTGCTTAGGGTCCTTTTGATACCATTTCTTTAAGCTAAAGCTCCAGCTTAAATACACCATTTTCCATGGGATCTATTAAATTCTCCATACCTGTAAAACTAAAAGGAAATTTATATGAAACTTTGGCCAGATGCTGGAGGAGAAAGAAACAAAGCCCTAAACCTGCTACTTCTCCATAATATTCCACTATAAAGACATATCAGCCAAAAACATATAGTACCCTATCAGAACACTGTTCTGCACTAGAGATTCTCAATTTTCTTTTCAATTCATGAGTTTGTGAAAGAGAGAGATTCAAGAATTCATCAATCCAGACAACCCTATTTAGACAAAGAAAGACCTAAACCTAGAATGTTCCAGAAAGATAGAGAGAAATGGGGGAGACTCGTCAGCCACCCTAAGGGAGCGAAAGAGAGAGAGAGAAAGAAGAAACACAGTAGTTGAAGTGGAGGCAGTAAAAGCTTGGAAGTTCCATCATCAATGGAGCTGGAAAAGACAGGCTAAAAGGTTTTCTCTTGTGGCAAATGTTAGGGAATGTTATTTGTCTATTAGTGGTTGGAGCAATTCTAGTAGTGGAGATTTGCAGAAACAGGTAGATATAAGATAAGCAAACTAGCTAGAAAAAACAAAGACATGACCCTCTTTCTTTTCTTTTCTCTTTCCTTATCCTTTCTTCTAGCTAAAGAGGTGGGGTTGTATGTATGTAACCCATTATTTGTGCAAGCGAAATAATTCCACTTCGTGTTTCGAGTCTTTTTCTTCAATAATCGATTTATTTACTATTAGACTCAAAAGACATTTAGATCGGCCTCTATCTACTTATAACTAGGGCCACAAATAAGGATTCAATGATCATATGCAATTGACTGCCTTTATCTAAGTGTTTTCTAAGGTAATCAGTACAATGGGGAATAAATGGAGTCATGACGCTGCAAGCTTAGATACCACAGACTAGAAAGCGAGAGCAACATTGATATTTTTCCCCGACAACATCCAAATGCAATTGGCTCTTGGTTTGCGTGATTCCCTAATGCATATAAATGAATTTGATGTTAATTTTTTTTAAAAAAAAGATTTGTATTAGAAAGAATTACAAAGTACACCACCTCAAGAACCTCATTAAAAAACCTCCCTAACTCTAAATAGAGAAAAAAGAGTGAACCTTGAGGTGGTAAGGATCTAATACACAAAAATTATTACATCAGACAGCCCATGGCCCCGCCGTACCAAAAACCCGAACCCAACTCATTAAAAAACGAACATAGACAAACTATTAAAAAACCAGCTAAACTAATGTAAAGGACATAACATCAAAAACGAACTAGCAACAGTAACCTGAACTTAAACGATGCCAAGCACTGTGAACTAGATATACTCACTTAATGAATCTGATCCATTGAAGAAGAATTGTGAAGAAGCACGGAGATCTTAAGAGGTTGCAGACTTTCAAACAATGAGAAATAATCGAAAGCTTGCAAGACTTCTAGTGGAATCAGCACCAAGATTGCAGAAGTTATCACAAATCTCGAGCAAGGACAGAAACATAATTCCAGGGATCGAACAACAGAAGTCTTATCAGCTGGACCAAATCATCTGGCAAGGAAAATATTTGATGCTCCTCAATAAACATAACAATCAGAAACTAAAACTTTCCGAGGCTAACTTGAAGTCACTCAAAAATAATAGAAGGTAACAACAAACGCTGCATGATGGCAAATACACAGACCCGAGGAGATAACAACTAAGAAATTGAACGAAAAATCCAACATTGGCTGTGAACTATCGAGAACAAGTAACACAACAGAAAGTATCAATAATTAGACTAACAATAATAATATACTCCAGCTCTTCGTAAAACCACGGTCAAAAACCTCAAGACCAAAACCTTAGACCTCCGTAACCCCTGACAGTCATGCACCAAACTCAACAATATTCTGGAGACACTAAATCCTTGAGAACATCACTTTCAGAACCAACAAACTTAAAACCAAGTTTCTTACTTAATGACAGTTAACTCTCCCCTTCAACAAAAGCAGCAGCCCACCTTTTCTTCAAATCTGAATCTGAAGGAGATCTACCTGATAATTCAAAGGAGATTAGATTTGACTTCATCAAATTGAATCTCTTCAACGCCCGATCTCTTCTTTTTCTTTTAGCTTTCGATAGGACTTTTTCCTGAATATCCAATAGGGATCGAATTTTTTTCTTCTTATTTTTTCTAATGGACAAATCTTTTTCACTTGAGTTAAATGAACCCAAATTGATTCCATCACATTCCCCCCCTGAAGCCACCTGACTATCTCTATTTAAATCCAATGAAGCTTCGACCGATAAGCCCATCCCTTGAGGAAACCCAGTTTTTGGATAGCCTTCAACAACCCCTACCTCCAACACTTTATCCTCCATCCTTGTAACCCCATCAACATCTATTCCTTGAAACCCCGCATGATTAGAATGATCGAGAATTTGAA